GTGTGAAATGTGAGAGACCACATGAGGATTTGTGTTTTCTTTTCTTTATACAGGTATGTGTGCATACGCAATATTGTTATTATTAGCGGTAATTATGTCCTTTTTGTATTCTTTGTACTTTTGGTCGTACTGAATATGCACCTGTTTTAGCATTGTTCAGTCTGGCTCCTAGCCCGTCTGAGGAGGGACTGCGAGCGTGTGATATGGAGAGACCATGAGGAATTGTGTTTTAATTTTTATTTATTACAGAACTGCACGATAATCAACCAGTGATCCTAAATGTGTCCGTCCGTGTGCTTAATTCAGCAGCGCACCCCTATGCAGACTTGTACATTATCCCTATTTCTGTTTCTAAAGCTCATTGTATGACGACATATTTTATATCTGTTCATAGCCACATGAACAGACCCAGGACAGGAGGCTTAGAAACCCAGACTGAGGTCTTGAAGACCCGGACCTGAGGCAGCGACCCAGGACAGAGGCTGCAGACGCCAGGACTGAGGCTGTAGACCCAGGACTGAGGCAGTAGATCCAGGACATGATGGCTGTATACCCCAGACTGAGGCTGTAGAACCCAGGACAGAGTGCGTAGACCCAGGACAGAGGCTTAAAGACCCAGGACGTGAGGCAGCAAGACCCAGGACAGAGGCTGCAGACCCAGGACTGGAGGCAGCAGGACCCATGACTGAGTGCTGTAGAGACCCCAGACTGAGCTCTAGACCCCGGACTGAGCTGTAGACCCAGGACTGAAGTTGTAAAGTGGCTCCTATACAGGTGGGGAGTGAAGTCCCCCCATGGGTCGGGAGCAACCACTTTAATTGCAGAACCCTATGTTTGAATGTAGAAAGAGAACAATATCATTTCTCACTTCTACCACCATCAAACATATAGAAAATTATCTTGTACGTTGTTGTTTTGTTGCAGATCTACAAAGTCATCTACAGAATGGGGTTTTCACCAGTGATCAGTGTGGAAAGACCTGCAAGCACTGCTTCTGAATCTAAAGAGACACCACAAACTCACACTGCGATGAAAACCATACGATTGTGATCTGTGTGGAACATGTTTTACTACAAGAAAACCAAAATCTCAAGGCCACAAAAACAAGAATCCACAACTGGCGAAAAACCCTTCACTGCAACATTGTGATAGAGATATAGTAGACAAAGGGTCCTCTCAAAGGCGATCAGCAGATCCACAAAGGCGAGAAACCTTTTGAGGTGGTGACCAGAGTGAAAAAACATTTAGGACCAAACAGCTGCATGCTCACAACATCAGCCTGGTCCACACAGGTAGAGAGAACACACACCAATGTGACCAGTGTGAAAGACTTTAACAGTGATTAAGTCTCACCTTCACTGATCACTACAGAATCCACACTGAGATAAACCCATATCGTCAGTGAGACTGTGGGAAGACTTTTACCCTTCAGTCTATCAGACAAACAAATAAAGCACATGAGAGCAACCACACTGGAAGAGAAATCCTTCAGCTGCGTGACGATTGTTGGTCCGAGTTTATTCTCGAGTGATCATCACAAGTGCATCAGAAATCCACACTGAGAAAAGCCATTTGCATGTGGACTTCTGCATGTAAAACTAGTTAAAACAGCAACAGAGCGCACACTTCCCCGATCGGATCACACAGGCTAGAAGCCGTACGAGTGTTGACAGGTGAGGAACATGTATTAACGAAAGATGAATCTAACTCAGCAAAAGAATCCACACTGGAGAGAAACCCTTCGCTTGCGACGAAAGTGGATCAGAGTTTTCACTGAGTGGTCATCTCATTAGCACCAGAGAGGATCGACACTAAGGAGAGAAAACAATTGACTGTGAAAGTGCGAAAAGTCATTTACTAATGGTTTCATCTCTACAAAACACATTAAAACCTGATAGAGAAAGCAGGTCTGAAAGCATCTGAGGACAAAGTGAAGGAGACAGAGCTGAGGCTGCATCCTGTGAACCCAGAGTCAGACTCTACAGGATCTCACTTCAGGCTCTAACTCCGGTTGGGGAAAGAATCCATTCAGTTCAGTGTTTCATTTTCCATGTTTACATATTCTGTTCCTTAAGGCGCGTTCAGACCAAAAGCTATCAAAAGTCTTTTGACGCGCTTCAACTGACGCCGTTAAAGATTTTGTCTTTCTTTTGGAGCTGTGAAGCATTTGACGCGAGTGAGCGCCTGACGCCGGTGGGAAGGAGCTTCTCTGTTGCCTTGTAAGTCCAGGACAGCGTGGAATTTTCAAATGAGCATCGAGCCTTTATATTGGTTATATAAAGCAAAATAACGTTGTGTCGGGCATCAACAAAACATGTTCTGTGGTTCACTCACATGACTGAGAGGCTCAATGATTGCAGAGTTACCTGTCATTTACTCCAGGAGGCTGCGTACGGAGGATTGTCGCTTTCAGCGGAACTGATCCGCATGTCACTCTCGCCCAGGTCTTAGTACTCAAACCACAAAAACCCCGGAGCTCGCCTCTCCCCCCCCCGCCTCTTCCCTGCCTCTCTCTCCCCGGCTCTCTCTCCCTCTCCCCTGCCTCATCCCCGGCTCTCGCCCGCCCGGAGCTGCCTTGCACTGAGCCCAGACTCATCGTCAGCCCTGTTCTTATTTAAAAAAAACAACTACGATTACTAAACAGCATGTGTACAATGATTTAGGGGGGGGGGGGAGTTACTCAGGACATGTTACTACACATACAAATAATATATACTAATGAACAATAAAGACAATACTACAGCAGCAGCATGACTTCTCTTCATGACAGAGACAACCCTCTGCTGCTGCGCTAGTCTGCCTCGTCTCCTGATTGGTTGAAGCACCGCGGACAAAGCTTCAAAAAAAGCTCAGCTTGTCTCAGCTTCGGCGTCAAAAGCGTCAGGTTTCCATTTAAAGTGAATGGAGAAGCCGTCAGGTGAAGCCGAGAAGCCCGGCGTTCCACATGACGCGCGTCAAAAGCTTCAAGATTCGCGCGTACTACCGCTCACTTGAAGCTTTTTGACGCGCGACAACGCTCGCGTAACAAAACAATTCCCTCTTGCCGCCGAAGCTGAGCAAAGCTGAGCATTTGAAGCATTGACGCGGGCTTCAACCAAGTCAGTAGACTAGGAGCAGCAGCAGCAGAGGTCTGTCCCTGCATGAAGAGAAGTACATGCAGCTGCTGTATTATGTCAATATCTGTTATTAGTAATATTATTATGAATGAGTAGAAACATCAGTAGTAACACAAGTCATTGTACACATGCTGTGTAGTAACTATTTATTTAAAAAAAAGAAACAGCTGACGACGGCATGTGTGTTAAGGATGTATAATGTATATTGCATTGTCCGATTAACATTTAATGGTGTTTGATTGTTAGATATGTAGTTGTATTATTAAGCGTGGGTAGCTCGGCAAGTAATGGCAGTATTTACTCACCTGAATTAGAAACAGAGATTTGCATTGTCAAAGGGCAGCGGCCATTATGATTTGAGAGTTTGTTATCAAGAAAAAATGATCGGTTGAATTACATACAAGTCAATGGAGTTTTCTACTGCTGCTGTTGAGGAGCTGTATAAAAATCATAATTAAATACTCGAATATATTCATAATGTTTTAATGAATAAATTTGTGAATGCGAAACTAGCGTAATTCTTTTACCTATATAGGGTGTTAGCAGTGCGGTTGCTTTAGTGCCATTTCATCAGTGATTGTTGCACAGCTTACAAGAAGTTGTGCTAATGCTAATGTTAGCATAAATGTCAGATCGCAAATTGAGCTAGATGGCTGCTGTGTTATGAGAGCGTAGGGGATATGAGAAAGCCATTGAGCGAGTTGGGGGGCAGGGCTAAACATTTAAAACCTTGCAGAAACGGTGTATAGCGCCTTTAAAGGAATTTAGAAAAAATGCACATAGTGCAACGCTCTACCTGCTCCCGAGGAGGGACCGCCTTACTTACCGAGTGCGTACATGTTAATGCTGTAATTTACCTCAAATATAGGGCTGGGCGATATACCTGATCAGTCGATAACGAATATATTGATTGTTTATTTATTTATTTTTAAAACCTAAATAAATACATTAGTCGTGTCGGCTAACATCACGATAGCAGCCATGTTTACAGTCACGGGGAGGTGAGGCTGGAGGCAACTGTTCACAAGCAGTCTCCCCCCAAAGTTAGTCCCTAGTTTAAATCCTGGTTATTCCTGGTTTAGCTCTGTTTTGGCTGTTTTCGAGTGTCTTCTGTCCCCTTGACGGGCTCCAGAAAAGGTTAATCTCTTGCTTTTGCCGAATGCATTGAGTCTCTGCCTCTCCCGCGCCGTTCCTCGCACGGACTATTGACACGGCCTGAAACACGATCTTTAGATCCTTGGCTATTATAATAGATCCATGATCCATGGACGCTACGCATGGTGCGCTTGTTGTTTTTGCATTTCCCAGAATGTTTTGCGGTATGTGGTGTCGTGCTGTGATAGGTCGAGAAGCCTTTGCCTACATTCCCCAGAATGCCTCGCGCGTATGACTCGGCTTTACTTCCTGTGTTTTCTAACGGAGTGAAGTGAAACGAACATCTATCGACCCAGTTTTCTATTGATATCAAACACGTGTCCCATTGCAATATATATTGTTATAGGTGTTAATGCCCAGCCCTACAGTTCCAAGGTCAGTACATAAACCCAGATTTCCTCGTGTATGCTCTGTTTACATGTCACTGTCGGCATCGCTCACACAAGCTCACTTTCCAAGAAGATTTTCACTTTTTTCCACTTGTCAGACAATATAGAGGTAGATAACAAGCACTTACAATGGCCTTACGTCAGAAGATTGACAATTCCACATCCAAGCAGGACCACTCAATATCTCTTGCAGGGAAATCCTCCTGATATACCCTTCAAAAAGACTAAATAGTTAACGGCACTCTCCTCCTTACTTCAGTTCTGTTTAATATGACTATCTTAACTCTCACTCTCCCCTCCCAACCAATTCCAATCCCCCTATATACAGCGATATACCCATTCATTGTCTTCCTTCATCATCCAATTTCCCTGGGTTTGTGGGCGGCAGCTTGTCTAAGGAGAGATAGGCCTTATCTCTGTCTCCTCCCGCTCGATCTGGATGGTATCCGGGCTAGTGTTCTCCCATGCCAGCAATGAGTGACTCCAAGGTTTCCTGTGCCTGTGATTCCATTTCCTAAAATGTATGTCAGAGCAAGGAACCAGCTCACTACCCAGACCAGTAGCGCCGATCTTCCCGGCCTGTTTGGTTCATCCTGCCCCTTCTCCGCTCCGTGGTCAGGCCCCACCTCTGGCCAGGGAGTCCACCGGGGAGCGCATGTGGGGGTCCCTCGTTTTTGACTACTCCATTCTTTCCAACACCATCAGACCGGCACCTGAGCTGCGGAGGAAGATGGTGTGATAGCTGGAGTGGACAGTCACCTCAACTCGCACGGCACCACTAAACTACTTCGTCCGGACCGACCACAGCACAACTTTATGAGTCTGTAGAGTTGATAGTCTACCAGTACTGGGTTCCCCTTAGGGCCACTGTGTCCGTCCCTCCATCTACACTTTGTGACTTCACATAGGAACACATAACAGCTTGCCCACCTGCAGAATTCTCCGACAACATCCCGTGATTGTAGGCTGTGTGTCCTGAGGGGTATCCAAGTGGGAGACTCGTTCAGTTATCATGGATTTTTGTCGACAGGTGTGAGCACAGAGATGGTAATCGCTCTACAATCCCACACACAGCTGAACATCCATGGCGGGACTTACGGTACCAAGAGCTGGTATACGGCTTGCCAAGTACCGTGGGTGTGTTCAGTTAACTAAAATAGACTGGACTGGTCCCTGGACGCCCCTGTCCAAGAAGGTCCTAAGTCTCCTCCACCTTCTGAGGAGTGCATGAGGTCCCTTCGGTAGTGAACCGGCCTCTGTTCAGGACTTTTTATGGCTCTGTGGTAGCCTCTGCCATACACTACGCTGTCCCGGGCAGCAACAGAGCGTCGGGCAGGAATAGACTGAACAAGCTGGTCCGGAGGCGCCTGCTTTGGGCTGCCTCCTGGACTCCATGGAGGAGGTGAGGAGAATTAGAGCGGGTGTATCCAGAACTCACTTATCCATCATGAACAGAATACCGTCAAATCACCTGCACAGGTGACTGTAAGAGGGGCTGAGGAGCTCTTTCAGTGGAAGGTGTGGGAGGTCTGAGAGCACCCCTCAGTGCAATCAGGAGCCGCTACTGCCGGTGCTAATGCGCCCCACCACTGTCAAACTAGGGACTTGAAAAACCTCTCAGTTATAGTCACTCATGAATTCTGTGGTTGTGGCAATTAATACTCCCGTGCACCAGAAGAAAATACATTTTAACACTTTTACCTTGTTTTGCACACTTCCTATCTTTTTGCAACACCATGAGTGATTCTATTGAGTGCACGTGTACATTTCGTGTACATTTTCTCCAGTGTGAGATCAATAATGTTTATCTTATCTTAAAGTTTTTAAAAGTAGCTTTGATTCAAAACCTACTTAACACAAATAATATTTATAGTCAATAATAAGATCAAAGAATCCTAAATATCTATACAACAAAATACAAATCCAATAGATTTTGCATCTAAAGACAATATAGAGGACGTTATAACTCAGTGTTACAGTGCCTTGCGAAAGTATTCGGCCCCCTTGAACCTTTCAATATTTCGCCACATTTCAGGCTTCAAACATAAAGATATACATTTTTAATTTTTTGTCATGAATCATCAACAAGTGGAACACAACTGTGAAGTGGAACGAAATTTATTGGATAATTTAAACTTTTTTAACAAATAAAAAACTGAAAAGTGGGGTGTGCAATATTTTTCGGCCCCTTTACTTTCAGTGCAGCAAACTCACTCCAGAAGTTCAGTGAGGATCTTTGAATGATCCAATGTTGTCCTAAATGACTGATGATGATAAATAGAATGCACCTGTGTGTAATCAAGTCTCCGTATAAATGCACCTGCTCTTTGATAGTCTCAGGGTTCTGTTTAAAGCGCAGAGAGAACCATGAAGACAAAGGAACACACCAGGCAGGTCCGAGATACTGTTGTGGAGAAGTTTAAAGCCGGATTTGGATACAAAAAGATTTCCCAAGCTTTAAACATCTCAAGGAGCACTGTGCAAGCAATTATATTGAAATGGAAGGAGTATCAGACCACTGCAAATCTACCAAGACCCGGCCGTCCCTCCAAACTTTCATCTCAAACAAGGAGAAGACTGATCAGAGATGCAGACAAGAGGCCCATGATCACTCTGGATGAACTGCAGATAACTACAGCTGAGGTGGGAGAGTCTGTCCATAGGACAACAATCAGTCGTACACTGCACAAATCTGGCCTTTATGGAAGAGTGGCAAGAAGAAAGCCATTTCTCAAAGATATCCATAAAAAGTCTCGTTTAAAGTTTGCCACAAGCCACCTGGGAGACACACCAAACATGTGGAAGAAGGTGCTCTGGTCAGATCGAACTTTTTGGCCACAATGCAAAACGATATGTTTGGCGTAAAAGCAACACAGCTCATCACCCTGAACACACCATCCCCACTGTCAAACATGGTGGTGGCAGCATCATGCTTTGGGCTGCTTTTCTTCAGCAGGGACAGGGAAGATGGCTAAAATTGATGGGAAGATGGATGGAGCCAAATACAGGACCATTCTGGAAGAAAACCTGTTGGAGTCTGCAAAAGACCTGAGACTGGGACGGAGATTTATCTTCCAACAGGACAATGATCCAAAACATAAAGCCAAATCTACAATGGAATGGTTCACAAATAGACGTATCCAGGTGTTAGAATGGCCAAGTCAAAGTCCAGACCTGAATCCAATCGAGAATCTGTGGAAAGAGTTGAAGACTGCTGTTCACAAACGCTCTCCATCCAACCTCACTGAGCTCGAGCTGTTTTGCAAGGAAGAATGGGCAAGAATTCCAGTCTCTCGATGTGCAAAACTGATAGAGACATACTCCAAGCGACTTGCAGCTGTAATTGCAGCAAAAGGTGGCGCTACAAAGTATTAGCTCAAGGGGCCGAATAATATTGCACGCCCCACTTTTCAGTTTTTCATTTGTTAAAAAAGTTTAAATTATCCAATACATTTTGTTCCACTTCACGATTGTGTCCCACTTGTTGTTGATTCTTGACAAAAAATTAAATGTTTATATCTGAAACGTGGCGAAATGTCGAAAGGTTCAAGGTTCGAATACTTTCGCATGGCACTGTAGGTAGGTAGGTAGGTAGATAGGTAGATAGGTAGATAGGTAGATAGATAGATAGATAGATAGATAGATAGATAGATAGATAGATAGATAGATAGATAGATAGATAGATAGATAGATAGATAGATAGATAGATAGATAGATAGATAGATAGATAGATAGATAGATGGATGGATGGATGGATGGATGGATGGATGGATGGATGGATGGATGGTCTTACAGCGTGTGGAGAAGGTGGTGCTGTTGTAAAACTGGTCCCACTGCTCCGGGACCGGCAGAGCCATGACGGTCACAACATACTGAGAGCCCAGGGCCAGGCCTCGGAAAGGGTCCGACTTGTACACCTGAAAATTGTGCGTGACTGTTATATAATCGGTTCATGTATAGGCACGTCCCAGAGAGGATTCTGGGTCTTTTTATTGGATGACTTTAAGAATGATTATTTATTTGTAATTAAAAATGCAGGGACTGAAGGCCCGTAGTATAACTCTGCTTTATGAATCAGTTGTTTGCCATGTGGTGTTGGTCTGGTCTGGTCTAGTCTGAACTGGCACTGACACAAGTAGTGACGACAGATATTAATAACTCACAATAACATAGATCCATTCTATTTTCTGACTCCTTTTTACTATGTGTTTGAGAGAGAGAGAGATAGAGAGAGAGAGATAGAGAGATAGAGAGAGATAGAGATAGAGAGAGAGATAGAGAGATAGAGAGAGATAGAGATAGAGAGATAGATAGATAGATAGACAGACAGACAGACAGACACAGACAGACAGACAGACAGACAGACAGACAGACACACACACAGACAGAGACAGACAGACACTCACAATAACATAGACCAACTGTATTTTCTGACTCTTTTTTCTGTGTTTTATGTTTTTGTTCTGCTTCAACTTGTTTGCACCGAGAGACAAAGAAATGTCCTACTTTGTGACTTCCTGTTACTCACATGGCAATAAAAATAATTCTGATTCTTCTGATTCTGTGTTTTTATGAATGTCTTTCCCGTATGGACCTTTTACTCTTGTGTTTGAAATGATAATAAACTTCAGGTTCACAAATCCATTCTCTCCGTTTTCTACAAATGCTTCATTAAATCAAATCTCTCTTTTAACATTACAGCTTGGTTTGGTTCACTCAATAAGATCATTAAAATCAGCAGCAAGACTCACAGACGTTTACAATAACAATCTCCAGACAGATCTCTCACTCTGCACTCACACTACAGTCTGCTCCCATCAGGGCGTTGGTTCAAATCCCTCCCATTCAAAACGCAAAGGGCCACATCCAGCTTCCTCCCAACCTCAATTCGCCTTGTTGTATGTATTTTATAATGCATTTCTGCTCTTTTACAGTACTGAGATCGTGTGTTTCTGTGCCGTTGTGTACCCCCACCGGTGCTCCGTCTGTAAATGAAGTTCCTCACGGATTAATAAAGTTATTTGAATTGAATTGAAATACCTTTTTAGCATGTGACGCAGGGAGGGACACATTGCGGTGGAAGAGAAAGAGCTGACAGAAGACACTGGAGCCTCCCAGAGCCTGCACCGACACCTGAAAGCCCCGCAGGAAGGAGATGCCTGCACATACAGCGGGGCAAAAAAGTATTTAGCCAGCCACCTGTTGTGCAAGTTCTCCCACTAAAAACTATGATAATAATACTGTAGGTAAACCTCAACTATAACAGACAGAATGAGACAATCCAGAAAATCACATTGTCGGATTGTTTGACGAATCATTTGCAACTTATGGTGGAAGATAAGTATTTGGTCGATAACAAGCAATCAAGATTTCTGTTTTTTTTTCTCATTCTGTCTCTCACGGTTGAGCAATACCACTCTATGTAAAAACACATTCCTCATTGACATGTTCTGCACGCACGCAAGATTTGTGAAGTCATTTGAAGCATGGCCAATTTACCTGAACATTACTTTCACATTCTCAAAAGCACTCGACAGGTTTGCCCCACGTTCACCTTTCATCAGGTGAGAATATATGTTGAAATAAAGTACCAACCCCGGGTCAAACATGACAAAGGCTGATAATATTGTATACACACGCACACACACGCCTACACACATTCACATACAGAGAAACCAGTACTTTAAAGTGAGTTAAAATCCAGAATCTTTCGTCTGATTAGCAGGTTATTGCTGATGAATACCAATAATACTTCTTTCCAGTGGGTTATAGCAACACCTGAGGGACATTGGTCTCTCCCTATGGACCAATACATATTTGTTCTATAGTTTTTGTGTCTTAGCTGTTGATTCTCTGATCTGTGTTGGTGATTTCAACGGTTTTGTTAAGTCTCTGAGATGATGCTGTTGTGATTTAGGGCTATACAAGAATAAATTGTATTCCAGCTTCCTTTTTTTTACCTGTTAAAGGGGCAGTTAGCGATGTTGTTAGCTTAGCCGTAGCACCAACTGGAAACCACTCCCGCCTCCCCTCCCTCTCCACCAAACCAAACATCCAGCATTTTCTTTTCTTTGTCACAACAGGGAGAGTGGGCGGCAAACGTGAAATTGGCATTAGTGACAAAAAAGGCAAATTATGAGGATTAAAAAAGATAAAAATTCCAAGGCACTCGTGGTCAATAGTTTAGAAAGGTGCGTATTTTAATTTACAGCCATGAGAAAATACAGGCTTTTTAAACTTTCTATACTATTGACCACGAGTGACTTGAATTTTTTGATTTTTTTTTAATCTTCATAATTTGCCTTTTACCTGGAAAGTCAAAACTCTTTTTGTCACTAAGTTAAACCCCTCTTCCAATCGAGCACCTGGACTTTTCAATCATTTGACAGGCTTGTACCACGCAGCACTCCTTACCCTTTGTTTTTTGTGAAATTGGCACTTTCTGCTCGGCCCTTTTAGGTTTTAGAAAATCAGATAATTCCGGTGTGCGCAATCGCGAGAAACAGGAAGAGGGTGAAGAGGGTGAACACATCCCATTGGTTCGTTGGGGATGATCGAATCCCATTGGTCTATTTTTATCGGTCCGCGCCAAAATATTGCGTATCACTTTTTGGAGACTATAGGAATCCGGTCAATTCCATTACTATTTGAAAACACATGATCACTGACTGCATCTAGACTAAACGGTTCTCAGATGTAAAGCCCAGAACGCTGTGAGAGTCTCCTACCATAGACACTGGGCCTCCAGGAGACCAGGACCGAGTCAGAGGAAGGGTCCGGATCCTCCACCTTCTCCACGGTCACGTTGTTTGGCGAGCGAACGTAGTGCTGACAGATATCCGGGTCTCCATTTCCCATCAGCTCAAAACAAGGCCAAGGAATACAACCTGAGGACAGAGGTCATAAGTCATTCAGTTTAAAAAAGGTTGTGCGTCAACAAATATTTGAGAAAAAACCTGTTTCAGTGTTTTGCAGTAACGTGTTTCTTTATATACATGTGAAAGCCGGTATATAAATACAGATTACTTACTTAAATACTTAAAGGCTGGGCTGTATCCTCACATAACACTACACACATACATACAGATATTTTCATATTTTTTTTTCATTTAACCTTTATTTAACCAGGAAAGTCCCATTGAGATTAAGAACGTCTTTTTCAAGGGAGTCCTGGACAGAAGTTACAAACAGTTACATACATATTATAAAACACTTACATATCATAAAACAGTTACATAAAGTGGGGCGGCTGCGGCTGTAAAGTGCCAAACTGCCGTTGTGTCCTTAGGCAATACACTTCACCCCCATTGCCCAGAATGAGTCTGGTGTGTGTGTGAATGGTTGGTGGTGGTGGGAGGGGCTGATGGCACAGACTGGTTGCCTCGCTTCTGTCAGTGTGCCCCAGGGCAGCTGTGGCTACTGTAGTAGTTTAATGACAAAGCGTCTTTGAGTGTCCAGAAAAGCGCTGTATAAAACCGATGCATTATTATTATTATAAAATTTCATACAATTACGGATTATAAAAACAGTTACATTTCAATGAGGACGTCTCTAGTGCTCTCAATCTGGATCGAGAAGCTTTCAATGAAATAGTCAGAAGTCAGATAGTTTCCAGTCTTAGTTGCAACACGTTCCATGTAGAAGGAGCAGCATGTGTAAAAGGAACAGAGAGCAACAAAAGATAATTTGATGGGAAACCATTTGAACCAACCTCTCTTTGTGTGAGTAATTGGCAGATGTAAGATGGCAGCAGACCAAGCATAGCCGTATAAATGAAAGTGCAATGAGTGTAAATGAATGAATACTTTTATTTCGAGCCATGTCAGACAAGAACAAGGAACAACAGCAAAACAACTGAATAGAAAAAAAACAAAACGAAAAAACAATACAAAACAAATAAACAATAAATAATAAATATCATGAGTCAAGGCTTTACAGTTCTTCTCTGTGAACCTCAGAGAAGAATGATACAAAGTGTCAATCTGACGGAGACTTTGAGTTGACGCATTCATATATATCAGGTCTCCATAATCTACAATAGATACAAATGTTGCAGTAACAAGCCGCTTTTTCACAAAAACAAAATGTATTTCTGAAAAAGAAGCCCAATCTAAGTTTGAGCTTCTTTGCAAGATTCTGAATATGGGGTTTGAAAGTGAGGGTGTTATCAAGCACGATACCAAGGTATATAATTATACCACGGTCTGTGAGAATTCCAACGCTATCTACCGCGCATTATTGTCGTATACACGCACACGTAGTTCCGGTAAGTTTAAAATCACGCTCTATATCCCTCCGCCGCAGTTGTTGCCATAGTAACTAACAGCTGGATCAAATAAACTGTCAGTTAGGGGACAAGCCGTAGCCTTGAAGCCGTAGCCGTGGCCGGATAACATGGACCTTGAGGAATGGGAAGAAGAAGAGGAGAACCAAGAAGAAGAACGACAAAAGCAACAGGTTTGTGTAAATGTTAAAGTTTTGTCTGCGTGTTGATAAAAGTAGCTCCCATTTATTTTTTCAACGGTGTCTAAGGCAAAGATATTGTTTTCAGACTTGTTAAATTATCCCTGTATTTCAGCATATTTGGCCAGTTCAGAAAAGTCAATGAACCTTTGTTACACACTTAAAGCTGCACTAACTCACTTTGTGAAATTTTAGAATGTGAGCGCTGGCCTCGCTCTTACTGCTCCTCCCCCCACTCAGCCGCACATGTGCTGTTTACGAAGCTCACGTCACACAATATGGATTAAACATCTGAACGTGGCGTGACCATAGAATGATAAAACCGGGAAGCGCGGAGGAACGAGACTTTCTTTTGGCTGTTTCTCTGAGTAAGCAGAAACCGGTAACAAAAACACGGGAAGTTTTAGGTTAGCCTCCGCCGCTCGTTTACTTCAGCTGTCTGTGCTAACCACAGACCTGTGGCTTTTCTCAAGAACGTGGGGGCCAGTGGTCCGCTGTGATTGGTCACAATCTGGTCCCGAAACACATTCTCTTCCTTGTTTCACAAAAACTAGATCTAAAATAAAATGTCACGGCAGCACAAATCTGAGCTTTTTATTCTTCAAAAGGACGTATATCCAATGCACAGCATGGACATGGATTAAATTTAAATAATGAATACAAAAATAAAGTCAGGTAATGCAGCTTTAAATTCACGGGATCATGGTATAAGCGGATTAAAAAACATGGAGCTAAAACACCAAGATATTGTTTAATCCTTACTTGAATCATGTGTAAAATGTATAAAGGTTTATGTTTATCTAACTGATTCAGAAATGACATATTAACAACAACTTTCACTTACTTCCAAGAGTTTTCACTGCTTTTGAGCCAAGGGCCTTCTGCACGTCTGATTGGGAGATTCTGCAGTATTCACACTCTGGGGCTCCCTGAGAGAAGAATTTATATCATTATCATACAAGGACCATGCGTTGCTTTGTCAAAAACATCATTGAGATCATTAAAACCAAGCTGCCTTACAAGTTTAGAGATAAGACAAGAAAGGAGAGCTTAAAAGGTGATGCTTGTCACAGCAAAAGAGCGAAAAGGAATGAATGCCCCGGGCCCTGAAGGGGCCCGGGGCATTCATGTGTGTGAGCTCACATATTTAAGCTGTTACCTACAATAATGACCACGGAAGAACACACGCACTCTTTACAAACCACGTATTAAACCTGTCACTGGGAAAAAGTGTAGAATAAACTATCTAAAAATGTGCTTACATTGCCTGAAGCTGTCAGACTGTACAATAAGTCACTTAGGACTGAAAAACCTGCACTTCTATTGACACGGTTTCTTGATTGCCACTTTTTATTGTACATAATATATCCTGCATTTAACATGTTGCACATTTCTGTCTTTTGCACAATCTTGAGTGATTCTATCCGTGCCAGATGTGACATTTCTCCGGTGTGAGATCAATAAAGTCTATCTTGTCTAATATCTTAAAAACAACCGCGCTGCAGTGACACGCCTCAGTCACATTTAATTACGGTTTAAGTCTGCAGGCAAAGTCAAAAACCTTCAAGCAGTTTGTGAAATGTACATGAGTTTGATTATTGTTCACAAAATATGATTGAAACGCACATTAAAAATACTTAAAACACATCATATTAATGTTATTCCTAAATGTTAAATAAACACAAAATCCATTATTTTAGTTTGTTGTAGTATTAATCCCAACAATTAACTTTAAAAAGCACAAAGTGAGGCAAATAACCGGGCAAGATAAACTAGTAAGTCACTGCATTAGTGTCCATCCATCAATCTGATATTCTGATTACTTCTTTTTATTATGAGTTTTGTTTTATTTTAATTAGTATAACTATTGTTCACTTGTGCTGTGTTCTCCTCTTTCCTACTGCAGCACTGAAATTTCCCCACTGTGGGACAAAAAAGGATGTCTTAATCTTAATCTTCCTGTTATTCACTCATCATAAATAAGAAAGTATTTTTTATTTACTGTTTATAGCGCCTTTCTCAGACCAGAGTCAAAGCGGTTTACAATTGTGGGCATTAGTCTCTCTCTCCACACAGAGACGGGAGCGGGGCCAGTACAGGAGGCACAGACCTTTTGTACATGTTTTTTAGTGGTAGGGGAAAAACCTACGCAGACACGGGGAGAACATGCAAAGTCCACTCAGAAAGGCCACTGTTCTGACCGGGATCCAATAATAATAATGCATTGGTTTTATACAGCGCTTTTCTGGACACTCAAAGTCTCTTTACAAGTAATTATTCTTTCTCTCCAAACACGGTGGTGATAAACTACTACTGTAGCCACAGCTGCCCTGGGGCACACTGACAGAAGTGAGGCAACCAGTCTGTGCCTTCAGCCCCTCCGACCACCACCAACCATTCACACACACACCAGACTCATTCTAATGTGGGTAAAGTGTCTTGCCTAAAGACACGACGGCAGTTTGGCACTTTACAGCCGCAGCCGCCCCACTGTGGCTGGTGTTCTCAGAGGTTAAGTGTCTTGCCCAAGGACACAACGACAGCAGACAGTGGGAGTCGATGGTGAAAGTCGGGCTCGAACCCACGACCTTCTGGCTCAAAGGCCAATGCTCTACAAACTGAGCTACTGTCGCCCCTTCAAACCCGAGGACCTTCTTGCTCAGAAGCGAGAGTGCTAACCACTCAGCCACCGTGCCGCCAATCATTACTGCGGATATTGTTACTATTGTTTATTATACACATCTGTAAATACTTCTGAACCTAGTGCAATTTTAGCTCCATAGCTCCAGAAGTTTTTTTTTCTTACTTTACCATCTTATTATCTTATATTTTAATTCTACAGTCCATTTATTATCTTAAATGTTAGACTGTTTGATGTGTGCGTCTTAGCTAGGGCCAGGGTTACTTCCTTCTTTCTCCGCTTTTATGTGTGCAACAGTGGCACAGATAAAGGAAAATCTTATCTTAAGTCTGTTAAAACTATAATTTTATAGGGAAAAAACAACGTTATTATTTAAAAAAAAAAAAAAAAAACACTTAAATACATGACATGATGGAACTGAAAAATAAAAAACATCAAAACAAACACACATAACAACACATGAGTAAGATGGAAGTGAAAGTAAAGTTTGCGTACCCGCCGGAGACACTCCAAGCTACAATCCCGAGGTCTAACGGCGACATCCTCCGCCGCCGCCGCCGCCATCAGCACGGCCAGCACCACGCACACTATCCAGCCTCCCTCACTCATTCCGCTGATTACGACTCATTAACTCCAAAACTAAACGGACATTTCCAAAGAGCAGCTGCGATGTGAGAATGTTGAGCCGTGTGAAGAGCAGGAGACACTGAAAGGGGAGTGGTGCCTTCAGGCGATGGGAGGATCATCCACGCTGCTGCCCGACCTGTTTTTGGCTCCAGAGAATAGTTCCATAGAGCAAAACAAACTCGTCAATTGAACAAGAGATGGATAGATAAATAGAGAGATGGAGAGATAGAGATTTATAGATACAGTAGATAGATACAGTGGGGCAAAAAAGTATTTAGTCAGCCACCGATTGTGCAAGTTCTCCCACTTAAAATAATGACAGAGGTCTGTAATGTTCATCATAGGTTCACTTCAACTGTGAGAGACAGAATGTGAAAAAAAAAATCCAGGAATTCACATTGTAGGATTTTTAAAGAATGTATGTGTAAATTATGGTGGAAAGTAAGTAGTTGGTCAGTAACACAAATTCAGCTCAATGGAAGGAGGTTTTGGCTCAAAATCTCACGATACATGGCCCCATTCATTCTTTCCTTTACACGGATCAGTCGTCTTGTCACCTTAGCAGAAAAATAGCCCCAAAGCATGACGTTTCCACCCCCATGCTTCACAGTAGGTATGGTGTTCTTGGGATACAACTCAGTATTCTTCTTTCTCCAAACACAAAGAGTTGAGTTTATACCAAACAGTTGTACTTTGGTTTCATCTGACCACATGACATTCTCCCATTCCTCTGCTGTATCATCCATGTGCTCTCTGGCAAACTTCAGACGGGCCTGGACATGCACTGGCTTCAGCAGGGGGACACGTCTGGCACTGCAGGATTTGATTCCCTGTCGTCGTAGTGTGTTACTGATGGTAACCTTTGTTACTTTGGTCCCAGCTCTCTGCAGGTCATTCACCAGGTCCCCCCGTGTGGTTCTGGGATTTTTGATCACCGTTCTAATGATCATTTTGACCCCACGGGATGAGATCTTGTGTGGAGCCCCAGATCGAGGGAGATTATCAGTGGTTGAAATATCGTTGTGGGCTACATTTGGGCTTTCTTTTATACAGATAACAAGTTCAAACAGGTGCCATTAGGTAACGAGTGGAGGACAGAAGAGCTTCTTAAAGAAGAAGTTACAGGTCTGTGAAAGCCAGAGATCTTCCTTGTTTGAAGTGACCAAATAATTATTTTCCACCCTAATTTACAAATAAATTCTTTAAAAATCCTACAATGTGAATTCTTGGATTTTTTTTCCACATTCTGTCTCTCACAGTTGAAGTGAACCTATGATGAAAATTACAGACCTCTGTCATTTTTTTAAGTGGGAGAACTTGCACAATCGGTGGCTGACTAAATACTTTTTTGCCCCACTGTACATAGGTAAGAGAGATAGAGAGATAGAGAGATAGAGAGATAGATAGATAGATAGATAGATGATAGATGATAGATAGATAGATAAGTCAATTAAACAAGAGTAAGACAATACTTCCCAGTCCAGAGGATATGGTTATTTTTTTATTGAGACAAAACATCTATTTACAAGAATGAGTCGAGACTGATTGAGATTTTTGTAGAGATGGTGAATAATGTGACAGTCTGCGGCGCGGCTCCGGGAGGTTGAGCGCTTTCACCGGATCTGGAAGAAGAAAAATAGGAATCAGCTCAAATTCAGTGAAATCTACAGTTACTCAGGCTTTACCGACTTTGATAGAAATGAAAAACATGTCCAGCTCCTGGCCCAACATGAGCTCAAAGGCACACACAAGGGTTTGATTGTTCTAAAAGTAAGCTTTCGTGACTTCTGTGATTGTCTAGATATGAGTCGATTTCATGCTTTTGTTTGGTTGTTTGGATTGATATCAAACTGTAATTCAAACAAGTCACGTTGTTTTGGGATAAAGTGAACAGTATTGTGGTCATGTTTTCCATCTGTAGTTGGAAAGCCATGTTAAGTTTTGAGAAAACGGCAAATTTACTGCATCGTCAAAGAGAGTTTTGTATTCTGCTCAACACACAGAGAATGAATGAATGAATGAATGAATGAATGAAGGTTACCAACAAATCAAAACATATGTCTATTGATGTAGATTTCAGAATTGTCTCCATAAAATGTTTTAGACTGATGATTACACAAGTTGACAGCCAAAAAATGTTCAGGGGTTTCTCAACTGATTCAGACTAATGTTGGTGTTCTGAGTCCGAATATCACATGCATTTTGCTCTATCAGGTCAACTTTTTGAGATACAGCCATAGTGTTACGGATTATGTACGTCTACGTTATTATGAATTCTGCTTATCAAATTTGATGGAGTAAATAAAACCTGAATGACTTTGGATACGTTGACTTTTATTTCTTGAGGAAAACGGAAAAAACGTCAAGGGTTTCTCAGCTGATGATCCGCAGAAATTTGTTTTTTACGCAAAAGGGATTTTTAAAAATATTTCTGACCTGATTGAGCAAAACCAAGGTCATTTTCGGACTCAGAGCATCAACATTAGTCTAATTCAGCTGAAAACCCTGGACTATTTTCAAAACATATTTTTTTGTTACCCAGTGTTATCATTAGGTGTTTGCATAAAAAGCCTTTGTACAATATTTAGCCTGACTTTAGTGAATTCAGGGAAAATTCAAGGACACGGTTTCTGGGATATAAGTATAATTTTAGGAACAGCATGCCTCTCTTATCGGGACAAGGCATGAGACCCAAAACCGGACTAGAACAGACCCAGACCAGGGCCTCAGTCGGTCTCACCATATGACGTCATCAGACATTTTCCTAAAACTGTTGGTAGGACATTTTGTTAGCAGTGTGAGCAGGGACAGAGAGAGGGGACTTCTCAGAGCAGATGGTTGTCCTCTCAGAACATTTTAAGGGCTGGAGGGAAAGTTAAAATAGCTCAGCTCATATAGGCTAGTTAGAGAAAGAGAAGCTCAGAGAGTTTTGTATTAATATTTAATTGTAAAGAGAATTAAATATTGTTTTGATTTTGAACTCTTGGTCTTATTTCTATATCAAATTCTGACACACGTACTAATAATTCAGTATCATGTTTATTTTGATCTACTTTGTCTAAGGCAGAGTGATGAAGAATGGAGACATTTTCAAACCATTGTCTGTCTTCCCCGTCTGTCTTTAGTTTTGTAAACCTCTGTGTTTTGCCAATAACGACAAAAATGTACCAACGAACAATTAATACGCTATGATTTCAAGAGAAGGAACCAGGATAACAAGCGTAGACCTTAGGAGTGGATGAAAAGACAGCTGACTCTCCCATCTTTGCCTTTGCAGAGCTTGAAGTAGGGCTGGGCGATAAAACGATAACGATATATATCGCGATAGACATGTGTTCGATATCAATAGAGAATGGGGTCGATAGAATGTTCGATAGTTTAACTTAACTCCGTCAGGAAAAACAGGAAGAAAACACCGGAAGTAAAGCCGACTCATAAGCGCATGGCATTGTGGGGGATGTAGGCAGAGGCTTCTCGACCAATAACAGCCGAGCAGGAACCGCAAAACTTTGTGGGAAATGCAAAAACAACAACAACCGCACCATGCGTAGCGTCCATGGATCTATAGCTCGTGTTTCAATGCCGTGTCAATGGTTATGCACGTACGTGCGCGGAATAACATGTGCGGCGGCAGAGGCAGTGGACAGACACGATGTATTCGGCAAAAGCAAGAGATTAACTTTTTCCTCGGGAAGCATGTGCGGCACAGAGCCGCACGGAGCGGCCACGGGGACACAAGACCCTCAAACAGCTAAACCAGGAGCTAAACCAGGAATAAAAAACCAGGATTAAACCAGGACTAACAACGAGGGACACAGTGTGAACATATTCCTCCAGCCTCATCGCCCCGTGACTGTAAACAAGGCTGCTAAGGTTGGTTAGCCCACACAACAAATATATTTATTTAGGTAAAAAAAAAAAACTCAATATATATCGTTATCGACCGATATGAATGACTTATATCGTGATATAGTTTTCAGCCATATCGCCCAGCCCTAGCTTGAAGTTTCTATTTGAGCTGGAATTTTGAGCTAAATGTGTGCTAATTGGTTTGGTAGAAATGATAAAACAACAACTTTTTGAAGCCCAAAATTGTGCCCAAGAAGAGTTTACATTTGACATGAAGTCAATAGGAGCAAAAGAGAGTAGGAGCAAAACGCCGTCAGTGAGCACTTCCCTATCTATGGGCTTTAAAGAGCTAGCGGGTTGGTTAGCACAGTCCATCGAAGTGCCAATTGGTAACAAAGCGCCTTTATAATACATATTTAGTGGGATAGTTGTTCGTTCCCATTGATGGTACTGCATACCTACATTTTAATACTAAATATTTTATCTATTTCACTTTTTACTTTTGACACTTTAAACCTTTTTGTACTGGTTTGACCTATTGTGTCTAAGTACTTTCCTTCGTGGATCGATTAAGTTTGTCTGAATCTATGTCAAAGGCTGGAGGGATGAAACTGTGAACAATTGGGAAGAATCCTCTAAAAAAGATAGTGCTGGTCTTACCATGTGTAAACTCTGGTCCAAGATCATTTCATACATGTACGTCTGGTCTTACCATGTGTAAACTCTGGTCCATGATCATTTCCTACATGTACGTCTGGGTCTGATCCTAGTGGCTGCAGTTTCCTCGGTTGAATCTCCTCCGACCAATCAGAGAGCGGGGGAGGCGGGTGTTGTAGGTCGGTGTCGGTGACGTCAAGAGTTTGTGCTGAATTTGCTGGTTGTAGTTTGTCGGAGAATGTGATAGTAAAATAATCTGTTCTGGTTCAATCCAAATATCAAGAAACTGAAGCCGGAGCAAGAGGAATGTTTAGTAAATGTCATTGAAGCAAAGATGTTGTGGCTCTACTCCCCACGGGCTCCGTTAGTGGCAAAGGAGATGGCTAAAGCTATGCTAAATGCTAAAGCTAGGCTAAATGCCGCACTCACTCGGGCTCATTACATACGTCACAGTAAACTCAGATCCAATTGTTTCAATCTGCAAAAGGAGTTAACCCCTCCCACCTGTTAACGGAGTCAATGGAGACAATCCAGACCTTAGTATGAAATGAAATGAGTACAATGGTGTGGTAAGACCAGGATAGCGCTGACCAAGCCAAGGCCTCCGGGCAGGTTTCTCCAGGGCGTTAAACTATGGCTCAAGAGCTATTTCGCGACACGTTATTACAATTAAACTAAAACTACTCACGGTGTATTTATCCCATTTCTTCTCCGGATCATAGGGCTCCCAGCGACTGGCAGGAAAGATGTGCTTGTTCTTCTCATACCAGCTCCGCAGAACCACTTTTCCAGCATGAGACTGTGTGCAGGAGGGAGGAACATCAGTCAGTTGTGAGCAGTCCAACACTAAAATATTCTGGACCATAATTTACGTATATTTTTTTTTATTTTGCTCCCATTTTTCCAAAAATTAACTACTTTTGGAGTCAAACTGGTGAATTGAGTTTGGGCGACACAGATAACACTTCTGGGTTTGAATTTCGGGTGGAAAAGGGCCTTTCTGGGTTTGCATGTTCTCCCTGTGTCTGCGTATGTTTCCTCCAGGTGCTCTTGTTCCCCCTACCACTAAAAACATGTACGATATGTCTGTTCCCAATGTCCACAACAATTTTAAAGTGCTTTGTGACTCTGGTGGTCTGTGAAAGGTGCTATATACATAAAGATGATAAAGATTGACATTGATTAGAGCAATAAAGTTTTTCACAACAATAGATTTAAAGTGATTGTCTGGAGTTTGTCAGAAAGAGAGAGGGAGAGGTGCTTGATTTGAAAAAAACCACGCAAGCTCCTCCCCCTTCCTTTCTGATTGGTCGACGCCTACGTTTCCGTAACACTTTTAAATGTTAAATCAGAGAACACATTATACGTATACATTATTAATACACATGCACGGAGATGCGTGAGGGCGACAGTAGCTCAGTTGGTAGAGCATTGGCCTTTGGGTCTGAAGGTCGTGGGTTCGAGCCCACCGTAAGACCTACTTCCCGACTCCCACTGTGACTGCTGTCGTTGTGTCCTTGGGCAAGACACTTAACCCTACTTTGCCCAAAGCCCCAACTGAAAGATCTCAGCTCCTGTGGACTCACCACCTGCAGGAGGATCAGTGAGGGGCTGGTGCTCTGTGGACTGGGTGCAGCTCTGACTGCCACCCCCCCGACCCAGAAATGGATTAAGGGGAAGAAAATGGATGGATGGATGGATGCACGGAGATTTTCAGAATGATTTGTTTACGTTTTAGTGAAAAAAATAATGTTTTTATGCACGTAAAAAGCGATCACGACAAACCCCGCAACAAGCTATTATCATGAATTGCACATTATGGACACATCTGCAGAGGATCTGATTATGGATATAGGTTCAGTATATAAATGATTATGGATATAGGTTCAGAGCCTAATAGAGGCTTGATTCGGAGGCTCCGTGAAAACAAACTGAGCATGAGCAGCTGCGAGCATCAGCACAATGATTGACAGCTGTTGGCATGACTCGATTGGTTAACGTGGACGGCATTGTGGATTCTGAGCTATAGCTAAGAGCAGGGAAGGCGGGACTTACCCGTAATATTAGAATTAATAAAATGACTTATTTTATATCAACATTTAAGGCCAGGAGGTCAATTTAACACATTTCCTAAAATGTGTAATTCATTTAGAGTTACAGACTATCACTTTAAGTGTGTTGATTGAGCGTGGCTAGCTCCGGAGTGGCCTTGGAACTTGCAGAGTTATCCACGCATTTGAATTACAAGCAGAGAGTGTGTTGCCAAAGGGCAGCGGTCATTATTGTTTTGAGAGGTCCGTTATAAATAATAATATATTTTTTGTCAAAATACTTTTACACTTCTGGCTGCAAACAGCTCTTATGTTTTGAAACTTGGCCCCCGACCAAAATGAGTTTGACACCGCTGCCGTGAACACCAAGAGAAGCACGAGTAGAACATGCAAACTTAAGACTAATAATTATAACACAACATGGATCTCCTCATTACAGTTGAATTTTGGATATTTCATGACACTTTGAACTCATCATTTTGACAATAAGCACGAGGCAGTTCTTTTCCACTACATGTTTTGGTTTTCTGAAGGCCGAAACTACTGGCACCGCGGCGAATGCTGATTGGACGGTCTCCATTCCTCCACACTGTATAATATCACTCACACTCTGTAACATCTGTATTCGTGCTGTCCACCATTGACAATAAAACATGTTTTCTGTCCGAATTAAACACACGACCCCAGACCACTGCCATTTTCTTCAGAATTATAGCATTTTATTCCTTCAAACTTATTTCCATTATATCCACCGTTACGTTATGAATCCTTCCTCACCTCATCCTTCTCCACAGTGGCGTCGTTCACCAGCCGTATGTCATCGTGGACATCAAAGCTGAAGAGAGGGCCTGTGTCGGGGCAGAAACACGTGTTAGAGGCAGCGAGAATAACATCCGCGAGAATAACATCCGCGGGAATACGGACGGAGCTAACCTGATTTTCCTCTGGCCTTGGTCACAATGAAGTCGTAAAAGCTGTGATGCTAGAGAGAGATAATCCCACTGATTACTTTCAAATGTGCAGGCAGTAAACACCAATAATAAAGTTTGCATTTGGCATAAACATGAGAACCAAGAAAAGTACTCACATGTGGGATGATCAGATCCTCTTTGATGTACATGAGCTGCTCCACACCGGCAGACCTGCTCACACACAACCAGACTGTTCAACAAAGTGTATATGGGAGATTCAGATTTTTACTCAATTAAAGAATCAATATGTAAGATTTTAATGTCCAGTCATCATTGAAGGGCCCTAATCTGTCAGAATTAAAGGGCCCTAATCGGTCAGAATTAAAGGGCCCTAATCTGTCATCATTAAAGGGCCCTAATCTGTCATCATTAAAGGGCCCTAATCTGTCATCATTAAAGGGCCCTAATCTGTCATCATTAAAGGGCCCTAATCTGTCATCATTAAAAGGCCCTAAACTGTCGTCATTAAAGGGCCCTAATCTGTCATCATTAAAGGGCCCTAATCTGTCATCATTAAAGGGCCCTAATCTGTCAGAATTAAAGGGCCCTAATCTGTCGTCATTAAAGGGCCCTAGTCTGTCATCATTAAAGGGCCCTAATCTGTCATCATTAACAGGCCCTAATCTGTCATGATTATAGAGCCCTAATCTGTCATTAAAGGGCCCTAATCTGTCGTCATTAAAGGGCCCTAATCTGTCATAATTAAAGGGCCCTAATCTGTCATAATTAAAGGGCCCTAATCTGTCATAATTAAAGGGCCCTAATCTGTCATCACTAAAGGGACCTAATATGTCGTCATTACAGGGCTCTAATCTGTCATCATTAAAGGGCCCTAATCTGTCATCATTATAGGGCCCTAATCTGTCATCATTAAAGGGCCCTAATCTGTCATCATTAAAGGGCCCTAATCTGTCCAAAGGCATTAATAAAACCTGCTCTTTTCCAATACTTCTTTAACTGATAACAGTAGTTCAGAGATATTTGAATTTTAAAGGCCCGTTTCCACGGGCCCGACTCTACTCGACTCGACTCGACTCTCCCCGGTTTGCGGACGTTTCCACCGGCTCGCTTTAGCCGCGACCCGTTTCTTTTTTGGTAACGGCTTTAGACCTGGCTCTAGTCGGGCCGAGCAGATACTGTAACCCCAGCAACGTCGGCGAACGCTGGTGTGTCCCACTCAGCAAAAAGCAGACGCCTTTTCTCTGGCATTTCTAACATTTATAATAAATACATAAATATAACATTCATAATGAAGATGCTTTCAAATAATTTAGCAAGCTGTAAACCATTTATGTTTTAACTCCACACGGCTCCTCCTCTGCCAAACTTCTCTCTGCTCTCTCCTCCGCAAACCACCACAATGAGGAAAAGGGAATATTCACTCAATCTATTTTGAATGTTACACAATATGAATATAGGCTAAGCACGCCTAACATCTGTCGCCTGTGTAATTACAATAGACTGTAAATATTAAAGTAATTACGCACCTGCTTAGAACAGTATGCGGCGCCAGGTTTTCAATTTTGTGTAGGCCTGCAGATTAGTAGGTATAGGCCAAATTCGATTGCAAACTACAAGGGGTAGTTGGAATTGAGGTTTCAAAGAATATGGTTCAAACGCACGCATGCACTCAAGCACACACACACAAACACACAGGCCCTCATTTATGAAACTTGCGTAGAAAAAGGTGTACATTTTGGGTGTATATTCCATTAACGCAAGATCCAACGTCGTAGGAACAAATTTGAGTGGGCCAAGATAAAAACTGGTAAAAAACTACCCAGGCCTATACCTGGCGCCGCGGCCGGCTTAGAAGGCCTGTGATGCCCACAGCGTCATCAGTCTACGCGCCTCTGTGTGGATCACACGTCTGTCTTCGGGCTGGAGCTATGGCTGGAGCATTTTGAGGGTTTTAAAGCAGGAGTCAGGAAGGTGGCGATCTTACGGGTGTTTGTGATTTTTTGGTTTAACAGCCTCCCTGTTAAACTTAATTAATTATATATATAATTATATAATTATATATAGGGATCAGGAGCTTTATGACCCGACCCACCCGCACCCGACATGACTCATATTTTTGAGGCATCCAACCCGCCCGAAACTGCAGGTTGACCGCGGCTTTCGGGCCGACCCGCTTATCACTACCCCTTAGGTAACACGTTGCCATAGATACACAGGGCCGATGGAAACGCTCTCAAACCGAGTCGAGTCGTGCTGAGTCGAGTTGAGGCGAGTAGAGTCGGGCCCGTGGAAACAGCCCTTAGATTAGTTTTCCAGACCCTAAATCTTTTTATTGTTTTCATTTCAATGTCCCGCCCTCCACCGTTTCAACAATCAAAAAGTCTGTGATCCGGGCGCCAGAACTCACCACATCGAGCTAATCTCACTGGTAAAGTACCATGTGGCGCAGAACTAAAAAAGGTCTCGTTATGATTCTTAAATCATTAACGACAAAACAAGGAATAAAACCAGGTACCACTTTTGGCCAGACTTTTTATATTACAATGGGCCTGAAGGTCGTGGGATCGAGTCCACCACGAGACCTACTCCAACTGTTCCTCCCGACTTCCCACTAATGTCTGCTATTGTTGTGTCCTTGGGCAAGACACTTGACCCTACTTTGCCTGAAGCCCCCGCTGACAGATCAAGGCTGTGCTGGTACTGACAGAGCAGCCATCTTCCTGTGCACTCACCACTTAATATCTCAATCTTCCTGAAAATGTGAGGCTGGCGTCTACTCTGGCAGTTTTCAAATGTAAATGTAGATTTTAATGTTTTATGCTTGAAGTGATGTGGGTTGTGAGGTGCTTTGTGTTGCCTTGTTTGTAATAACTGATTGATTGATATTTCCCATCTCTCTAACAGTATGTAGTATTCATAATATTTTGGGTATACATTTTTCATATTGTGGATTTTGTTATTTTGTGCTTTGGTTTTAGTTTTACTTTCTGTCTTGATTGTGTGCCCCGCCCTGATGTGTTGTCTGTGTCTGTTCCGTCCTGTTCCTGGTTCCGTGTTCCTTGTGCCTTTGGATTTTGAGTCGTCTTCACCTGGACTTTTATTTTATTATCATTAAACCCTTATTTTTTGGCATTCCTGCTTTTTGGGTCCTAATTCAATTCACCACATGACAGAATGCTCCTTGTTCATCGCCACCTGTAAGATTTTTATTACTCAATCCGTACGTCCGTCTGGGGTTGTTTTCCCTTTGTACCACCGCCGGGCATTTGGCTCTTGATTGTCTGCCCCGCCCTGATGTGTCTGTTCCGTCCTGTTGCTGGTTCCGTGTTCCTTGTGCCTTTGGATTGTAAGTTGTCTTCACCTGGACTTTTATTTTATTATCATTAAACCCTTATTTTTTGGCATTCCTGCTTTTTGGGTCCTATTCAATTCCCCACCTGACAACTTTTGAGTATCAACAGCCCAGTTTGACTTTACAAAGCCATTGAATTCCACACTGTCATTGCACAAAGTAAACACAAAGTAAAAGGTTTTACCGAAGTTCACTGAAATCTTTCCGGAGAACTTCAAGTGCTTTTTGTAGAAAGTTCTGCATGGTGTTTCCTTTCTTCATCTGTGAAGTCAAATAAATAATACAGTTTAGTGTCCCAGTATTTCAAAGATTTAAGGATAGTAATATGAAAATGCACAGGCTGGAGATGATAAACTCACTTTGACAGTCTTTCGATGTCCGGAGCCGTCCCAGTAACTAAAGGTGATTTCAATCTCCTCATCTGTGAAAAAAACAAATGTGGCTTTAAACTATGAATATAATTAGTGTTTTAATATGATCAATATGTAAGATTTTCATGTCAAGTCCTCATTAAAGGGCCCGAATCTGTCGTCATTAAAGGGCCCTAATCTGTCCAAAGGCATTAGTTCAGAGATATTTGAATTTCTAAATTAGTTTTCCAGCCTCTAAATCTTGTTATTGTTTTCAGTTTGATGTCCCGCCCCCTCCACCGTTTCACCAATCAGAAAGTCTGTGATCCGGGCGCCAGAACTCACAGCGTGGAGCTAATCTCACTGGTAAAGTACCATGTGGCGCAGAACTAAAAAAGGTCTCGTTATAATTCTCAAATCATTAACGACAAAACAAGGAATAAAACCAGGATTTCTATCTTTGTGAAAAAGGTGTTGGTTATAGATTTGTTGTTGACAAAACTCTTGTCTATTCAGCTGTTATGGTCCCAGCTGGATTCGTCTGCATATCTGGCAACCTGAGTCAGGGAGAGTGGGAGAGGCTGCAGTACCACTTTTGGCCAGAGTTTTACATACTGCTCTTTTAAACATTTTGTACACACATTTAAAAAAAACTCACTTTTGATCTTCTCTTGCTTGAGCTCCCACTCCTGCCTCAGCTCTTCTCTCAGGCGGTTCTCCTCCTCCTGAACGACAAAAGTATGTACATTAAATATAGGTGGAAATCTGCTTCAGGGACATTATTATAGATTTAAAATTGTCCGTTGAGAAGCAAATATCATAGGAACATGAACTTATGTTGGTGAAACTTTTTCATTGTATTCTGTGTTGGGAAAGTAAAACGAAATATTTATAATTTTGTATTATGTACAGTGCCTTGCGAAAGTATTTGGCCCCCTTGAACCTTTCAACATTTCGCCACATTTCAGGCTTCAAACATAAAGATATAAAATTTTAATTTTTTGTCATGAATCAACAACAAGTGGGACACAATCGTGAAGTGGAACGAAATGTATTGGATAATTTAAACATTTTTAACAAATAAAAAACTGAAAAGTGGGGCGTGCAATATTATTCGGCCCCTTTACTTTCAGTGCAGCAAACTCAGTCCAGAAGTTCAGTGAGGATCTTTGAATGATCCAATGTTGTCCTAAATGATTGATGATGATAAATAGAATGCACCTGTGTGTAATCAAGTCTCCGTATAAATGCACCTGCTCTTTGATAGTCTCAGGGTTCTGTTTAAAGCGCAGAGAGAACCATGAAGACAAAGGAACACATCAGGCAGGTCCGAGATTCTGTTGTGGAGAAGTTTAAAGCCGGATTTGGATACAAAAAGATTTCCCAAGCTTTAAACATCTCAAGGAGCACTGTGCAAGCAATTATATTGAAATGGAAGGAGTATCAGACCACTGCAAATCTACCAAGACCCGGCCGTCCCTCCAAACTTTCATCTCAAACAAGGAGAAGACTGATCAGAGATGCAGCCAAGAGGCCCATGATCACTCTGGATGAACTGCAGATAACTACAGCTGAGGTGGGAGAGTCTGTCCATAGGACAACAATCAGTCGTGCACTGCACAAATCTGGCCTTTATGGAAGAGTGGCAAGAAGAAAGCCATTTCTCAAAGATATCCATTAAAAGTCTCGTTTAAAGCTTGCCACAAGCCACCTGGGAGACACACCAAACATGTGGAAGAAGGTGCTCTGGTCAGATGAAACCAAAATCGAACTTTTTGGCCACAATGCAAAACGATATGTTTGGCGTAAAAGCAACACAGCTCATCACCCTGAACACACCATCCCCACTGTGGAATGGTTCACAAATAGACGTATCCAGGTGTTAGAATGGCCAAGTCAAAGTCCAGACCTGAATCCAATCGAGAATCTGTGGAAAGAGTTGAAGACTGCTGTTCACAAACGCTCTCCATCCAACCTCACTGAGCTCGAGCTGTTTTGCAAGGAAGAATGGGCAAGAATTCCAGTCTCTCGATGTGCAAAACTGATAGAGACATACCCCAAGCGACTTGCAGCTGTAATTGCAGCAAAAGGTGGCGCTACAAAGTATTAGCGCAAGGGGGCCGAATAATATTGCACGCCCCACTTTTCAGTTTTTTATTTGTTAAAAAAGTTTAAATTATCCAAGAAATTTCGTTCCACTTCACGATTGTGTCCCACTTGTTGTTGATTCTTGACAAAAAAAATGTTTTTTATATCTTTATGTTTGAAGCCTGAAATGTGGCGAAATGCTGAAAAGTTCAAGGGGGCCGAATACTTACGCAAGGCACGGTAAATGTAACTCAGGGTTATATGCACAATTTTGCTATTCTATTTTGTATCTTTCAGTTATTTGCTGGAAATAAACTTGGCTTAAACTCAATCAAAAAAATTCATACAACTCTATATTTAACAAAAAGTCACTGAGGTCTTGGATGATCTTATAGAGAACACGCATACGACCCCTTTAAGTTCAAGTTCAAAGTTATTACGACGTGTAGCGTAGGGGGCGACAGTGGCTCAGTTGGTAGAGCCTGAAGGTCGTGGGATCGAGCCCTTCACAAGACCTACTGTACTTCACGACTCCCACTGATGTCTGCTGTCGTTGTGTCCTTGGGCAAGAGACTTAACCCCACTTTGCCCGAAGCCCCCACTGAAAGATCTCAGCTCCTGTGGACTCAGCACCTGCAGGAGGTTCAGTGGGGGGCTGGTGCTGTGTGGACTGGCTGCCACCCCCGACCCAGAAATGGATTAAGGGGAAGAAAATGGATGGATGGACGGAAAAAATAAATAACTAAATAAACCAAAATAGTTTCCTGAGTGGGAGTAGGAATGATAGATGGACGACGTGTAGGGATTTGTTTGAGATTGTGTGAGAACCAACAGTTCATTTCTCCAGAACCAGATGGATTATAAAGGTTTCTTGAAGACTCACCTCTCGATCTCGGTCTGGCAGAAAACTTGTGTCCACATCTGGATTTTTCCCCAGTTTTTTCTTCTTAGACGGAAAATCTTAAAAATGAAAGCCATAAAGAAATGTGTTTAGTATAAAGCGGGGCCTTTGTTCTTCTTGTAATTCTTACCGTCCAGGTCCTCGTCCTCCTCTGGGTCCTCTTCCTCATCCTCCTCATCCTCGGGGTTAAACGACAAACTGGCAATCTTTCTTTTCTGTTCTTCTTTTCTTTTCTTCTCTTTCTGCTTCTCAAGTTTGCTGCCGTGAATGACAATAGCATCAATAACAAGAAACAGCAGGAAAACTGAACAATTCACTTGGCTGCAGTCTTGTTCTTATTATTCCTGTGCCCAGAAAAACCACAGCTCTTTAGAACTCAAAGATGAAAAGCCGAAACGTCCCGAGTCCTTATGGAAGAAATATTCTCCATTGCCACTTTTTTATTGTTCATAATTATATCCTGCACAGACTATATTTTTAACCTTCACTTCTGTCTTTTTGCACAATCTGAGTGATTTTATCTGTGCCAAATGTGACATGTACATTTCTCCGTCAGAGATCAATAAAGTTTATATCAAATGATCTTATCTTAACTTAAATGACTCCCACAAGAACAACAGACAAACATGTATCATTAACAGGAGTGCATATAAGTGGTACACAGGTACGCACGCACGACAAATATTAGAAATGCGTACTATCACTTGAGTAAGCGCCTTTGCGTACTTCACGTAGACCAGTCCTTCTCAAATAGTGAGTCGTTATTATAATAGATCCATGGGCGCTCGGGGGGCGTGGGGCAAAGCCAGAGAGGGTGTGTGTGATCGCGGGGCACTCGCTGATGTTTGCTGTACGTACTTGAACGTAGCCAAACGTGGTCATATTGTACCCAAGTGTGTCTTTGCGTAACGCAAAATGAATAAATACATATTGCGTTAGGTGGGTGGAGAGGTCCTTCCTCAAGTGGAGGAGTTCAAGTATCTCGGGGTCTTGTTCACGAGTGAGGGAAGGATGGAGCGTGAGATTGACAGGCGGATCGGTGCAGCGTGCGCAGTGATGCGGTCGCTGTATCGGACCGTTGTGGTAAAGAGGGAGCTGAGCCGAAAGGCAAAGCTCTCGATTTACCGGTCAATCTTCGTTCCCTCCCTCACCTATGGTCATGAGCTTTGGGTAATGACCGAAAGAACGAGATCGCGGATACAAGCGGTCGAAATGAGCTTCCTCCGCAGAGTGGCTGGGCGCTCCCTTAGAGATAGGGTGAGGAGCTCAGTAATACGGGAGGAGCTCGGGGTAGAGCCGCTGCTTCTCCACGTCGAGAGGAACCAGTTGAGGATGTTCCGGATGCCTCCTGGACGCCTCCCTGGGGAGGTGTTCCGGCCACGTCCCACCGGGAGGAGGCCCCGGGGAAGACCCAGGACACGCTGGAGGGACTATGTCTCCCAGCTGGCCTGGGAACGCCTTGGGGTCCCCCCGGACGAGCTGGAGGAGGTGTGTGTGGATAGGGAAGTCTGGGCGTCTCTGCTTAGACTGCTGCCCCCGCGACCCGGCAACGGATGAAGCGGAAGAAAATGGATGGATGGATAGACATATTGCGTTACTGCTGAAGCAGAGCTGGACTGTGGAGCCTTCAGGGAGTGTCCATGTCCTCCCTGTGTCTCTGAATTAAAGCTGTGGTAGCTACATTTTCCCTTGCATTAATAATGCATGATAATGTTGGTTGTGCCCAAAAGTAAAATGTTGTGAACAAAACATAGGGCTCTTTCTTAAAAAATGTTTTTCATTTTTTGGAAAGAGCCCTGTGAGTCATTATTTGACTTGGATTGAGTGGATTATCTGAGCTGATCTGAACTTTAGCATTAAAAAGAAGCAAGTAGGGGTGGGCGATATGGCCTAAAATTCATATTGCGGTATAATTTGGGACACAGACGGTAGACGGTATATATTGCGGTATAATTTGTTGTGTGAATTTCAATATAGGTCTAGCAGGTTCTTGCATAAAATAGTCAAGATTGTTAATTATTTATATATTAGAATCTAATATATATATTTTTTGAGTTAGAAAATCAGTTGTGAGATGAATAAAGAGACAAATAACATACATTATTTATGTATGTTACAGTAAATACCATTCACTGTAACAGCAATTTTTAAAAAGAAAAACATATGCATTCATTTAAAATTTAAAAAACTAACAAATGTTGAAATCAAAGTCTGTAGGAGTTAGACATGGTCATTATTTATAGTGTCTGAGAGTTTCGTGCAGGTACATGACTTCAGTAAAAGCTGTTCGTTTACAAAGCTGGTCTTGCCATTTGTTGACGCTCCCTAAGTGCTTTTCTCTGCGCTTGCAGTGAACTGGATGATTCAATGGATTTATGTTCATTAAAACAGCGCATTGGATTTGAACAATTGATGTAAATGATCATTTTGGCACAAATAATTTTGTTTAACAAAGTAGCTTTCGTGAGATATTGACAGCGGAGGTCCAAATCTGACGCTAACTTTCCCAAATTTCTGCTGTAATGCTGCGGACACGGCACACGCATGGATCTATTTTGGCTCACGCTGGCGCTTCGAGCTTACGCCCCTTTGACACTGATTGGCCAAAAGGTAGACTCTTAAACTGTGATTACTGTGTGTGTATTTACCTCTGCTGGGGCCGCTGTGACAACAATACATAGACAGAAACACTGTGTTAATGCCGTGCTGTTGTTCGTTGTTTCCAGTGGTGTCTGCTAGGCTAATGCTGCTGAATGCCGGTTTGTTTTGGTCCTTTCTGCTGGCGTCAGAGCCTGCGCAATTTAATGACATAATGACCTATCGCAATATGCCGGTATAACAAAAATCTCTACCGTGGGCCAAATTTATATCGCATACCGCTTATGCCGTTTATATCACCCAGCCCTAGAAGCAAGTATAAAATCTTGATTACAAAAACGCGACAAATGGAGTGAGAACCAAACACCATCTCCTGGAACTCATCTGAGAACCTCACTGAAAACGTTATGTCCACCCCTGAATATTAAAGTCTTATTAAAGGAATTTGGGGTTGAGGAGGACACTAGCACAAACCTGAGAAAACATTAAATGAATGGGAGACAGTCAATACAAGCAAAACTTCACTCATTTGTTCATAATATATATTAAAAAAAAAAGATATATATATATATTTTTAAATATATGATGAATAATTTGCCTGAAAATACCTTCATAGTAAAAAGGTAAAAAGACCAGCTCTACAAGTGTATTTTTTTCAAATGAAAAATCACTAAACAATATTGATGACCAATGTGACTCCCAGAGAAAATAATTGCTTACTAGATCGATAAATAGAGATAGATATAGCTAGAAAGACCGTTATAAGTGGGTAGATAGATAGATAGATAGATAGTGTTGTAGAATTAAAATGTTGTATACTAATGATTATCATTAGGAGTTTGCATAACATGTCTTTGTCAATATTAAGCCTGGATTTAGTGGAATTCAGAGAAGCACCAAGGACAAGGCTTCTGTGATAAAAGTATCATTTTCAGGAACAGCGTGTCTCTCTTATCGGGACACGGCCTGAGACACAAAACTGGACTAGGCCAGACCGGGACCAGGACTTCAGTCTGCCTCAGACCATATGACGTCATCGGACATTTTGATAAAACTGTTGGTAGGACATTTTGTTAGTAGTCTGAGCAGGGATAGATAGACAGAGAGCATCGCAGAGCGCCTGGATGTTCTCTGCACATTTTCAGGCCTGGAGAGACAGTTAGAATGGCTCGGCACAGGGTTAGTTTTAGGGAATTAATAGCTCCAAGAGTTTTGTATCAATATTTAATTGTAAAGAGAAATAAATGTTATATTTTTAACTCTTGCATTCTTGGCCTTATTTCTGTATCAAATTCTGAACACGTCAGTCATATCTTTTTGACAATAATAGATAGATAGATACATTGATAGATAGTTCATTCTAAAACGCAGATCACAGCAGAGGTCCTTTCTTTGTTCTTTTTATATAAACTTGTTTCCAAACCTGCGGCTAATCCACATCATTACAACGTGTTACTTTAAGACTCCAATCATAAAACCTGGTGATTCAAAGCTTCACACCTCTTCGTTATCTATCATAAAGACGGAGCAGCTGGATGCACAGACCCGGTGGTGCCGTGAATGACGAACCTGAGGCAGACGTTAAATACCTCAGTTGTTACGTGTGTGCATGTACCGTGTTGTTTCATGCCTGTGTGACTCACAGCTGGAGCTCTTTAGACTGTTCCTTCTTGGCGAGCTGCTTCTCCCGCTCCTTCACCAGCGCCTCCTGTTTGGCCTTCATGTCGTTCAGTGTCACCAGACCTGAACACATTTTACATCAAGTGGAGGAGACCCAAGAAATGTTACCCCAATAATGATGCAATATTATTAAAATACAGCTTGACCCTGTCTTTCTAATAGACCTTTTCAATGTTAAGTAAGTCAAGTTTATTTGTATAACGCCTTCCACAGACCAGGATCACAAAGCGCTTCACATTTATAACACTTTAAACACATTAAAAATACACATACAAGTAAATACATTCTGAAACCACGTGCTTATATTTAGTGGATGAAGCAGTATATACGTGCTTCATCCACCTCCTTTTCAAACCATGCACTTGTATATCTGTCTGTTATGTTGAGGCGATGATAATGTATGTGCAGGTTTGAAATAAATATTATCTATCTATCAATCTATAAACCAAAGCAAATCTAAACAATTCAATTCAATGTATTCTTGTATCGGCCTAAAATCATAGCAGTAGTTTTCTCTGCGGACTTTACACAACTGTTGAATTCGACCGACACAGATCAGAGAATCGGTTCAAACACACAATATAAAACAGAAAGTGCATTAGTATTGGTTCATAACGGGAAGAAGACAGTGAGGGATGTCTCCTCCTTCACAGTTGGAGCTAATTCTCCTGTGGGCTGACTCCACCTACATCTCTGACCACCTCCAACAATTCACACACACACTAGACTCATTCTAGGCAATGTGGGGGAAGTGTCTTGCCTAAGGACACAACCACAGTTTGGCACTATCCTCTCCTCCTTCCTTCTTTATCTGTCTGCATTAATAGGATTTTGTCTGTGGTCTGTTCATTGCTATTCACCCGTTGTCCCATTGTCTGTTTCATGGTGCGACGACGGGACCTCTGAGCCTGGCCTCCTCCATCTACACCTGCGGACTGCCCGACCCGACCTGCCTGGGAGTGCTTCAGTCCTGCACCGGACCTGTAGCTTAGGTCCTGGATCTACAGCCTCAGTCCTCGTTCTACAGTCTGAGTCCTGGATCTACAGCCTCAGTCCTCGTTCTACAGTCTGAGAGTCCTGGATCTACAGCCTCAGTCCTCGTTCTACAGTCTGAGTCCTGGACCTACAGCCTCAGTCCTCGTTCTACAGTCTGAGTCCTGGACCTACAGCCTCAGTCCTCGTTCTACAGTCTGAGAGTCCTGGATCTACAGCCTCAGTCCTCGTTCTACAGTCTGAGTCCTGGATCTACAGCCTCAGTCCTCGTTCTACAGTCTGAGAGTCCTGGATCTACAGCCTCAGTCCTCGTTCTACAGTCTGAGTCCTGGATCTACAGCCTCAGTCCTTGTTCTACAGTCTGAGTCCTGGATCTACAGCCTCAGTCCTCGTTCTACAGTCTGAGAGTCCTGGATCTACAGCCTCAGTCCTCGTTCTACAGTCTGATAGTCCTGGATCTACAGCCTCAGTCCTCGTTCTACAGTCTGAGTCCTGGATCTATAGCCTCAGTCCTCGTTCTACAGTCTGAGTCCTGGACCTACAGCCTCAGTCCTCGTTCTACAGTCTGAGAGTCCTGGATCTACAGCCTCAGTCCTCGTTCTACAGTCTGAGTCCTGGATCTATAGCCTCAGTCCTTGTTCTACAGTCTGAGAGTCCTGGATCTACAGCCTCAGGCCTCGTTCTACAGTCTGAGTCCTGGTTCTACAGCCTCAGTCCTCGTTCTACGGTCTGAGTCCTGGATCTACAGCCTCAGTCCTCGTTCTACAGTCTGAGTCCTGGATCTACAGCCTCAGTCCTCGTTCTACAGTCTGATAGTCCTGGATCTACAGCCTCAGTCCTCGTTCTACAGTCTGAGTCCTGGATCTACAGCCTCAGTCCTCGGTCTACAGTCTGAGAGTCCTGGTTCTACAGCCTCAGTCCTCGTTCTACAGTCTGAGAGTCCTGGATCTACAGCCTCAGGCCTCGTTCTACGGTCTGAGTCCTGGTTCTACAGCCTCAGTCCTCGTTCTACGGTCTGAGTCCTGGATCTACAGCCTCAGTCCTCGTTCTACAGTCTGAGTCCTGGATCTACAGCCTCAGTCCTCGTTCTACAGTCTGATAGTCCTGGATCTACAGCCTCAGTCCTCGTTCTACAGTCTGAGTCCTGGATCTACAGCCTCAGTCCTCGGTCTACAGTCTGAGAGTCCTGGTTCTACAGCCTCAGTCCTCGTTCTGAGTCCTGGATCTATAGCCTGTCCGTCCGTCTGTGTAGGAGCGGATCCCTCTCTCAAATTGTGGGTCTCCCCGCGGTTTCTCACTTTTTCCCACTGGGTTTTTGTGAGTTTTTCAATGGTGTTGTTAAGTTTCTGAGATGATGCTGTTGTGATAATTGTATGGATGCCACCTTTTAGAAACCTTTTAAACACCATTTAAAAAACAGTACCTGGATTATTGCGATAAAAACATTCCCCACTGCCCCCAGAGAAGCGCATACTTACCGACAGTACTGGATTTGAGCTCTGCCTCCACCGCATCATAATGAGCCGAGAACTTTTTATCGATGTTGGACTTGACCATGTTATCCTAAAAAAACACACACAGTATCAAGAACTGCAGCATTGGACTGATGAGCTGAAGGTTTAAACACAATCCAGTCAAAATAGATGGTAAATCCAAATGACAGCAGTTATTAAAGTCCTAAACAGCCTGGTTGGACTGCAGACTCCTGCATTATCCGCTCTGTGTGTTAGCTTAATGCAATTCACCATTATTGAGGAATTTAAATAAGGGATGAAGTAGATTTGTGATATACTTTTTTCCCATATTGAGATTTGTCCACTGCATACAACTCGTCCTTCTAAAGCATGGCTGTTATGCAACTTTAATAAATGGCTTGGACCTGTTTTAAACATAAAATTGTGTCTTATCTGCTCATATTTCAGTCTCTCAAAGTGGCATTCAAACAAAATCTAATTATTAAAATTAGGGCTGCACAATATATCGAAAAACAATATAGTTATCACGATATTGGTGCGTGCGATATCCATATCGAAAAGTTCTGTTTTGTTGTTGACTACTATGGGCGCCGGCGGTGTCTACTCATTTAGTTCAATATTCATTTTCAATTTATTCATTTTTTGGATTTTAACCTCTCCCCATTGAAAAGAAATACCTTTTTTTTTTATTTACTGGACCGATCTTTTTTAAAATCTAAACATCATACAAAATATGGATAATGCAGTTTATTAAACTCTAATACAAGAACTGTACAACAAACAATGAATGACCCGATCCTCACAGATGTAAACATACTGCTGCTAATGTACAGATGTAAACATACTGCTGCTAATGTACAGATGTAAACATACTGCTGCTAAAGTACAGATGTAAACATACTGCTGCTAATGTACAGATGTAAACATACTGCTGCTAATGTACAGATGTAAACATACTGCTGCTAATGTACAGATGTAAACAAACTGCTGCTAATGTACAGATGTAAACATACTGCTGCTAATGTACAGATGTAAACATACTGCTGCTAATGTACAGATGTAAACATACTGCTGCTAATGTACAGATGTAAACATACTGCTGCTAATGTACAGATGTAAACATACTGCTGCTAATGTACAGATGTAAACATACTGCTGCTAATGTACAGATGTAAACATACTGCTGCTAATGTACAGATGTAAACATACTGCTGCTAAAGTACAGATGTAAACATACTGCTGCTAATGTACAGATGTAAACATACTGCTGCTAATGTACAGATGTAAACAAACTGCTGCTAATGTACAGATGTAAACATACTGCTGCTAATGTACAGATGTAAACATACTGCTGCTAATGTACAGATGTAAACATACTGCTGCTAATGTACAGATGTAAACATACTGCTGCTAATGTACAGATGTAAACATACTGCTGCTAATGTACAGATGTAAACATACTGCTGCTAATGTACAGATGTAAACATACTGCTGCTAATGTACAGATGTAAACATACTGCTGCTAATGTACAGATGTAAACATACTGCTGCTAAAGTACAGATGTAAACATACTGCTGCTAATGTACAGATGTAAACATACTGCTGCTAATGTACAGATGTAAACATACTGCTGCTAATGTACAGATGTAAACATACTGCTGCTAATGTACAGATGTAAACATACAGCTGCTAATGTACAGATGTAAACATACTGCTGCTAATGTAAAGATGTAAACATACTGCTGCTAATGTACAGATGTAAACATACTGCTGCTGCTAATGTACAGATGTAAACATACTGCTGCTGCTAATGTACAGATGTAAACATACTGCTGCTAATGTACAGATGTAAACATACTGCTGCTAATGTACAGATGTAAACATACTGCTGCTAATGTACAGATGTAAACATACTGCTGCTAATGTACAGATGTAAACATACTGCTGCTAATGTACAGATGTAAACATACTGCTGCTAATGTACAGATGTAAACATACTGCTGCTAATGTACAGATGTAAACATACTGCTGCTAATGTACAGATGTAAACATACTGCTGCTAATGTACAGATGTAAACATACTGCTGCTAAAGTACAGATGTAAACATACTGCTGCTAATGTACAGATGTAAACATACTGCTGCTAATGTACAGATGTAAACATACTGCTGCTAATGTACAGATGTAAACATACTGCTGCTAATGTACAGATGTAAACATACTGCTGCTGCTAATGTACAGATGTAAACATACTGCTGCTAATGTACAGATGTAAACATACTGCTGCTAATGTACAGATGTAAACATACTGCTGCTGCTAATGTACAGATGTAAACATACTGCTGCTAATGTACAGATGTAAACATACTGCTGCTAATGTACAGATGTAAACATACTGCTGCTGCTAATGTACAGATGTAAACATACTGCTGCTGCTAATGTACAGATGTAAACATACTGCTGCTAATGTACAGATGTAAACATACTGCTGCTGCTAATGTACAGATGTAAACATACTGCTGCTAATGTACAGATGTAAACATACTGCTGCTAAAGTACAGATGTAAACATACTGCTGCTAATGTACAGATGTAAACATACTGCTGCTAATGTACAGATGTAAACATACTGCTGCTAATGTACAGATGTAAACATACTGCTGCTAATGTACAGATGTAAACATACTGCTGCTGCTAATGTACAGATGTAAACATACTGCTGCTAATGTACAGATGTAAACATACTGCTGCTGCTAATGTACAGATGTAAACATACTGCTGCTAATGTACAGATGTAAACATACTGCTGCTAAAGTACAGATGTAAACATACTGCTGCTAATGTACAGATGTAAACATACTGCTGCTAAAGTACAGATGTAAACATACTGCTGCTAATGTACAGCTGTAAACTCCTACTCCATATTACCGGCACTAGAATATACAGTACTTTATAGATGCTTTTTATTATGCTAATGATGAATTATTTGATGCTAGAGTTAGAGATTATTTTATTGTATTTAGGAGTTATAGTTAATCTATCTTGTGCTGTGTGCTGCTCATTCCTACAGTAAATTGTGATACAACACTGAAATTTCGCCACTGTGTCACTCATAAAGCATCTTCATAGTGACATCTGTTCGTTCCCATTATTATTTTTTTTATTTATGTGCTTGGGATGTTACACCTCACGTCACATAAGCATCACTAATGTCAGTAAATAAAAGTGTATATTTGTTGTTTGACTTTGTTCTCACTTCTGCAATCTTCTGCTTGAGCTGCTCTAGCTGCTTGAGCTCCTTCTCCCTCTTCTTCATCAGTTGCATGGCGCGTCCAGCTTCACTCGCGGCTCCTTTGTACTGCGCCATGACGTCAGCACCTGCTCACGTCACCCACGCACACAAACGTAAACAACTAAAGTCACTATTCCTCCTTTTGGTTTAATGTTTGGGGACGCGAATACTGCGCTGTTCCAAGAGTATCCAACGCAGACTGGAAGTGTCCAACAACAACAAAGATGGCGGAAGAGAACAGCATTGTGGGTAAATGTGCTGCTGTGTTTGGCGCCCCCGTCAGGCCGCGGGTGGCAGTGCATATCACAGTGTTTACAGAGGCTCCAGAATACTGAATACATAACATTAAATGTGTTTTGTAAAGTAATCAGTTACTTAAAATTAGTAACTGGACTCCGAATAATTTTTTTATTCATACTTTTATTTATTGTTTTTGTAGTATTTATATTTATTGTAAATTCAGGTTTATTTACAAAACCTATTAAGGTAGATTTCATAATATTTAAAACCACAACTTCATAAAATGTTTAAATATATAAAACCTAATTAATAATTGCTTAAATGTGCTTCAACCAGAAAAATATAGAATCTTCACTTTAAGAAATTCCCAACGTTTTCTCTTTTTTTTACCTTATAATGTAAAGTGAGAAAGTATTGTATTCCTGTGATTTTCATGAAGTAACTGCATTATAAATACTAGACTTTAAGGTAGTAAGTGTAAAGGAACACAGATAATGAATACTTAATGGATTTTGCATTTGGTTACTCTCAAAAGTGATGCCTGGTCAAATTAAAATATGGTGTTTTTCATTAGATTTGACTTTCTCCTTATGTTCTAATGTGTCGTGGACAGAGGCACAAAGAGAACAGACATACAAACACAATTTTATATAACACAATAACAATAGCATTTGAAATATTACTACAACCACAGAAAGTCATTGAACAGATTTTAACACAAACAAGTACTCGACATACAGTAAGTGAATATCGCAACTGAAACACTCCAAATGTCATGTCATTTTATTCCCCTTTATTATTCCATATTCTGGGTTTGGGACAGTCAGAGCTGCACCCAAGTCTCAAAGCACCAGTCCCTTTGACCTCCTGGAGGAAGATGGCTTCTCCGTCATTATGGCCTTGGTGTTTCAGCGGGGGCTTCAGGCAAAGCAGGGTTAAGTGTCTTGCCCAGGGACACAACGACAGCAGACATCAGTGGGAGCAGAACCCACAACCATTAGGTTCAGGGACCAATGCTCTACCAACAAAGCCACTGTCGCTCATTTCAAAATGTAAACGGATTTTTATCTGATAATTTTGGCTTTAAGAAACACAAACATTAATACCTCTTTCTTCCTTATGAAAAACATAATCAAACATGTGTATTTAACCCTTTAATGCATCGGTCTCAAAGTCAAGGCCCGGGGGCCAGATCCTGCCCGCGAGACCATTTCCAGTGGCCCCTGGGATTATTTTAAATTGTTATATCAAATAGCAGAATTGATGGAATTAGGCGACAATGGCATGTTATCCATTACTATTTCTTTCAAGAAAACAACTATGAAATATTATTAAGATAAGATAAGATGTACCTTTATTCGTCTCTAATTCCATAAGAAATGTTAAGCCAACATGTAATTAGAAGTTAGTATTATTATGTTATGTTTTTTAAAAGTCTTCTTAAAGATATGAAGCAGGAAAGAACCACCGTCTCCACTTTTTGAGCAAAACTCTCTGGTCTTATTTGACGAGCAAGAATCACCAGAATGATTGACCGTTGGGTGGACCAATAGTTTTGATGATCCACCCGGAAATAGAAAATCTTCCTATTTACATATAATTTTATTTGGTACAGTTTTGGTTCAGTCCACAGTAACTGAACTAATTCTAATCAGAAAAGAATGTCCAATCTAACTAATGTGAGTCATTTATATAAATATATTTATATAAATACCTTCACATTATAAAAAGTATAATAAATTAAACCCACTCATTCTTTCGGCCCCTGACCAGCCCTTTCATTTTTTATTCGGCCCTCAAAACAAAATAAGTGTGACACCCCTGCTTTAATGGTTCCTCAATCATTTGGTGGATCACTGAATCTACTTGAAGCTTGGAACTGAAATCTCCCTCTTTGGGGCATCTCTATAACTTTGTTTTAGGCCCTTTTACCATCAAGCTGCATCATAAGCTTTTGCTAAAGACCTAGAGTATCATTGAAAAAAACTATAGGGTTAAAAACAACAAATGATTCTCCTGCATCTTGGAGAATCTAAAAGTGGAAAAATGTTCATTGCTTTCTTCAAGGAGTGAACATTAAAGGGTTAAAATAACACTTAATTTACTATTATTATTATTATTAGAGAAATATAAAATTCAAAAAGTATAAAACAGATCTGATAAAAGACACTTATAACAGTCACATGTTCTCAGTCCTCTTCACTTCACCTCTTTGTCTGCTCTCAGAGGCGGCCAGTCCTTGTTAGAGAGAATGATGGCAACGTGACTGCAGCAGAGAGCCAGGCTGGTGCACAGCGGAGAGACCAGGAGGTTCACGGCACACATCCACACGGAGCGGACACACGGGACGAAGGTCTGACTGAGCTGAGCCAGAGGGACCACCAACCTGCAGGAGCACCAGGCCGTCAGCGATGCACAGTACAGGGCTCAGGGTTGGAGATAACAGAAGATTATATAGACTTTACTGATCTCTGGTGGAGAAATGTACATGTAAAATTTGTGTGGGTGGATGGATGGATGGATGGGTGGATGGGTGGTTGGATGGGTGGTTGGATGGGTGGTTGGATGGATGAGTGGTTGGATGGATGGTTGGATGGATGTGTGGTTGGATGGATGTGTGGTTGGATGGATGGGTGGTTGGATGGATGGGTGGTTGGATGGATGAGTGGTTGGATGGGTGGGTGGATGGATGGATGGTTGAGTGGTTGGATGGATGGATGGTTGGATGGATGGATGGATGGGTGGTAGGTTGAATGAGTGGTTGGATGGGTGGTTGGATGGGTGGTTGGATGGATGGATGGATGGTTCGATGGATGGGTGGTTGGAAGGATGGGTGGATGGGTGGTTGGATGGATGAGTGGTTGGATGGATGGATGGATGGATGGTTGGATGGATGGTTGGATGGATATGTGGTTGGATGGATGGGTGGTTGGATGGATGGTTGGATGGATGTGTGGTTGGATGGATGGGTGGTTGGATGGATGGATGGATGGGTGGATGGGTGGTTGGATGGATGGTTGGATGGGTGGGTGGTTGGATGGATGGATGGGTGGTTGGATGGATGAGTGGTTGGATGGATGAGTGGTTGGATGGTTGGATGGATGGGTGGTTGGATGGATGGATGGTTGGATGGATGAGTGGTTGGATGGATGGGTGATTGGATGGATGGATGGATCGTTGGATGGATGTGTGGTGTGATGGGTGGTTGGATGGATGGATGGTTGGATGGATGTGTGGTTGGATGGATGGTTGGATGGTTGGATGGATGTGTGGTTGAATGGATGGGTGGGTGGGTGGGTGGTTGGATGGATGGGTGGTTGGATGGATGGTTGGATGGATGGGTGGTTGGATGGATGGATGGATGGATGGTTGGATGGATGTGTGGTTGGATGGGTGGT